GAATTCATGATAGAAATGGAATTTAGGAAGCTGACATCAGAGAGAAGAATAAATATACGGCGAAAGGTGTAAAGAAAGTGGACGGCAGAATCGGTAAAAAATTGTTCCAGATTTTATGTGTAATGATCAATCAATAATTTGTGCAAGGATTTTGAGATTTTATTACGTTCAATCGTCAATTTATTGGGAAGGTTACACTCCGCAAGGAAGGAAGTGAAGAATAATTGTTGGGATTTGTATGAGAAAATCAACAATAGCTCGAAGTGAATTCTATCTTATTGATTGTGATTAAACGCAATGATTTTTTCATTCTTTTGTTATTTAATATATGGCTTAATAATTCATTGTTAAGATGAACGATATATCTTAGATTTAATATTTATTTATTTATAAAGATTTTCGTGCAACTTGATTATGTGTTAATTGCTTATTATGTGTTTAATACTTATACTGCTTGATCACATATTTATTGATTTAACGATGATTATGAGACCGAGAGGAAATATATTTGTCTAGTTCGTGCAATAAGTGGCATAGGTGTTATAATAGATCGAGAGATATGTTTATGCAATCATGATTGAATTTCTAAAATTAAATGTGTTTACATGTTTATGAGTTTATACAGAGATATAGAAAATTCGAGTATGTGGATAGAGTTACTTTTGCTCAAGAGAGACCGCCACCTAAAATTGGTTGATATTTGATTATTGATACATATGAAAAAGTACCTGCATGAATTCGGATTGATTAAATGTTAGATAGCCTAAGTGACATCGGAGTTCCTAACCACTTAATCCTAATAATTCTTCACAAATTAGATTAATTTTAGTTTAGATTACTATATTTAAGTTAGAAATCAAAATCTTGATTTGTTGTCGACTACATTAATTTAGATTGAGGCTAGATTAGAATATAAATTGATAGTAAATATTAGTCTCTGCGAAAACGATATATGTGTTCAAACATTCACTTTATTACCTGTCACGATATATACAATTGCAATTACATGAACAAATTCTTTACGTCATTGTCGGGGACTAATTTATTTATTTTAATTTTTGTTGTTAATTCTAGTTTTGATTTTTCTTTTTAAGTTGATCTACTTGTTTTTCTTGGTTTTGTTATAGGGAAGTAAAGGAAGTAATAGCTCAACAATAACATGAGATGGAAGATCCCGAAATTGATGAAGACGACAAACCTATAGGGAATTCTTGTGCCCTAGCACACTTTAATTTGAAGGGATATGATGCACTTGTCGAAATTGATGAGGATGACTAGCATTTGGGAGTACTATGGGGACTACTAGGTTTTCAAGTACAGGTGTAAATGAAGTTGATGAGGATGATTTGCCATTGGGATTACTATAGACATTACCAATATATAGAGTACATCACATTTCATATGAGAAAACTCACAATCATAGTTGGGAGCAACATTCAAATCTCTGCTGGCCAGAAGGTCAAAATATTGATAATCTCACTAATCACCAACAAGAAAGTGAGCCACTAATGAAAAATTCCTTGTACAGGTACCCAATATTTTGAATAGTAGGCCGACCGTACGACTCAATGAATCGACAAGAAAAGAAGAAGAGCACGTAGAGATCAAGGAATTAATTGTGACTGGCTAAAAAAAAATTAGTAGCATTCAAAGAAGAGAAAATTAACATGAAATTCCTCGACTTTATTGTTTGCTCAAAAATTGAGTTTGTGGTTAAACCTTATGATGAGATTAAGGTGTACATTGGTAGTTCGAATTAGGTTATGAAGGAAAGTCAAAGTCATACTGCTTGGACAAGGGTAAAGAAAAATTTTAGAGGACAGATGCAAAATGGTACAAATTCAACATAAGCAAGCTAAGCATGACTACCAAAACAATATGTAAAGTTCCATGAAACACTTTCATAAAAGCCGAGCTCAAGACTATAAATCAAGAACTTAATGAGAAGTAACCTGTTTTTCGAACCTTTAAATCTTTTATTCTAGTTGTTGCATGGCACATAAATAATACGTTTGCATTAGTATTTAAGCACGTTTAATTATTGTTTAGTTAAATTTTTTTTTTATTTTTTTTTATTTTTAGTGTCGCTATATAACTCCATCGAAAGAAAAAGAAAAAATTATGGTTGTCCACAGTCAACCACTGTGACTCGAGGTCAGTACTTTCCTGTGTGCCGCAGTCAAACGTCCTATAATTTTTATTTTATTTTTTGAAATTTCAGGAAAAAAAAATTAAAAAATATAACTATTTTTTGTTATTTATTTTCGTATTTAACTTTAACAAGTTTTAACTTCAAGATTTCAAAATTCTCCATCTCCTATACATATTTGACACCTGAATTCACATAATCACCAACTTTTTGGATCATCAATATATTCAATGTTTTGAAATCATGAAAAGTTCAAGTTTCACCCAACTGTATTATTACTTATAATCATGATTTTTTTTTGTCTTCGAACTTTTCTAATTTAAAAATAATAATAATAAATTGTGATAAATGCGTTATATATATGTGTGTGTGTGTTTAGATCATGATAATAATTGCTTACTATTTATTGCTAATGTAACTTATGATCTTATTTGTAATAAAAATTGACATAAATAACAAAGATCCCTTGTGAAGGAGGAAAAAGAAAAGGAAAAATTCTCCGAGTTTTAAGGACAACTCCATCATCCAACTTTATCCGGCGAATCTAAAATTCCTCTCTTTTATTTAATTCCTACACACACACACACACACACACATTGGAGGCAAGGGAAGAATAAATTATGGGCGAAAAATCTAGATTTTCTTGTAATTTAACCAGCATGAATGATTTTTGCGTGTTTAATCTTGGTTTAATTTTAGGTAGAAAAAATTTATGAAAAAAATAGGAAAAAAAATATTTATAGTTTTATTATTGCATGCTTGTGTGTGGCTTAACTCGAACAAAATAATTCATATCCAATGTTGATATTGTGCACGTCTATGAGCAAAATTGAGATCGATTCATGGGAACACTCAAATTTTTAATTATTTTTGAATCCCATTATTTTGAACTTAATTTTTGAACAATTTGAGCACATGCTCTTTTTTTTATTGTACCTATGGTTGACTATGAGTTGAGTTGTGTAAGTCAACAACCTTATAATAAGCTTGGGGTGAGTAGATCCATCCAAAATTAAGAACGTCACCACTTAATTGTTTTTAGTTCCTATCATTGGTCTAAAAAAGTGAAAGACATTGCACTAGCTGTGACACGGAGAAAAAGTTACCTAATTTGTGTGAAGCTAGTTTTGAGTAATTTGACCTATTCATGATCAACGTTTGAAAGCTACTTTTGAAAACCAGAAAAATTCAAAAAAAAAAAAAAAAAAAAATATATATATATATATATATATATATATATATATAAAATAAAATAAAAAAATGGGGACAAATAAAAAGAAAAGTAAAGTAAAACATACCAAAGTAGTAGCAAAACAACTATAAGTGCTATTTCGGTCCAGCTAAGTCTTGGTCGTCAATTAGGAATTGGAAGACGAATGAGTGATTGATGAAAATATGTCATATCTCATTATTAGTTGTTTGCCTTTGGGACAATTGAAAAACAAAGAGAGCAACATGGGTGATGAGCGAGCATATTGACATTGCTGGAATTTGGTTTTGTTTGAGAAAAGAAACTTCGGAAGTTGAATTACATGACTTGATTTTGAGTAGCATCAATAGAATTGTGGAGTTCTAAAATAATTTTTTATTCTTGTAGTTCATTAACCTATTTAAATTTTTTGATTGGGATGTGCATTTTGGGGAAAGATTGAGTTCTTATATCAAATTGAGTATAACTGTTTAGAGTTTAGTTAAGTACCTATTATGTGTTATTTGAGAACGAATAAATGTTCAAATTTGGAGGTGCTTGATAAGTGTAAAATTTACACTTATTTAAACTATCAAAAGTGATTTTTGTTAGTATTATTACGATGATATTTATTTGCCTTTTTATTGTGTTAGGGAAAAAACTCGGAATTGGATCAAATATTGATCAAGAAGGATGAAATTGAATAAAATCTATAGTTTTGGGATCAAATTCCATACTATAGGTATTCAAGGGACAGATTTGTACATTTTGAAACATATGATGCAATTATAATTAATGTTGCATGGTGGCAGGAAAAGATTGAATTAATAATCGAACTTTGACCTTAAACCAATTGGATACTAAAGCGGGCCTTGGATCAATTGAAAAAGGAATGAAATTGGGGTAGAAAGATAAGGTCAACCACCCCGTTTTCAAATCTTTAAATTAAAAAACGTCACATTGTAATCAAATTATTGTCCTGTAAAAAATGTACCAAGTCATGTCTCCATTCCCCAAAATGCATTATCATCCGTCTAATTTCTTTACTCGTTTTTACTTTTGACTTCGGAGACAGAAAATTTTATCTTTTGACTTATTTATAATTAATTAATAATATGCATATCATATAATTAATTAATAATCTGCATATGATTTAAAAAATAAAAATAGATGATGTGACAAGATTTAATTATGCTATATATAAAAAGGGGTTGGGGGTACCCTTGCCCTCATGCCCAAGAGGGGGCCATTATGGATTATGAGCCGCAACGCATAACTAATAATCTTCATTCCATCCTCCTGTGACAAGGCACCGATTTGGCGCCCCCACCTGCTCCCCCTTGGATGGGGGCGCCAAATCGGTGCCCTTTCACAAGCCAATCACGGCCCTTGTCACCATAGCAAAACCCTTATATTAAAAAAAACCCCGTGCACCACTCCAGCTGTCAACTTTTTCCAAAAAGGGGCACCTGATTTGAGTCATAAACAAAGTCAAGATTAGGCTATTAACAAGCCAGATTAAAAGTTTTCTATATTTATGTCCATAAATATCATACCTTAACAAGCCAGATTAAAAGTTTTCTATATTTATGTCCATAAATATCATACCATAGTCAATAGTGCAAACAACTAAATAGACAAAGTGCATTTACATACTTACCTTTAGGGCATAAATTTTCTCTTGAATCTTGTCACATAGATTGCTGTTGTCACGTGTATCCAATCTCCAATATTATTCCAGAAGTTGAAATAGGAACGTCGCCATGAATGCTTGAGGACTAGAGTACCAACAATTACCCAAAACCCAGTAATGAAGCCAAATGCCATGCAAATATAGAAATCTCGATTCATAAATCTATCATCTTCTTCAACAATATTTAGCTCACCACGACCAGTCATAGAAGGGTCATGAGGACACTCTGCCAATGGATCCCCACAGAGTAAACTGTTCCCAACATACGCAGATGAGTTGAAGCTCTGTAGTTGAGTGCTTAGTGGAATCTTCCCTGTCAGGTTATTGTATGATAAATCTAAAACACTAAGAAAATGTAGATTTGCTAGGCTATTCGGAATCTCCCCAGAAAGTTGGTTTCTAGATAAGTCAATCCATTCCAATGTGTCCAATTGACCAATGCTTGAAATGATATTCCCCGTTAAATGGTTTCTTGATAAGTTGATGAAAACTAAACCTTTCAAATTAGAAAATGCTTGCGGAATAGTTCCAACTAACTTATTGCTAGAAAGATCAATGCCTTTCAAATTTTTTAGTCTTTTATATTCTGAGTCTTGTCCTTTCCATTGAACCAAAGCATTGTCATTGTCATCGAATGGTTTCCCAGCATAAACCAGAGAGGGATTAAATTCGAGAATAGTTGAACCATCATTCCGAACCAAAGAAGTAAAATTGTTTATGCATTGTGGAATTTTTCCCGAAATGTTGTTTCTAGAAAGGTCCAAGACATGAATATCGGTAAGGTAGCAAATTGTTGGAGGAATGGATCCATGTAAACTATTAAATCGAAGGCTAAGAACAGCCAAATTTGTTAAGTGTGTTCCTATCCATGCTGGAATTGTACCTGTTAACTTGTTTCCTCCAACATCTAACTTTCTCAACTGTGTGCAATTCTTCCAAGAGGGAGGCAATTCACCTGTGAAATTATTGTTGCCCAAATGCAATATCGTAAGCCACTTCGGGGTGCTTAAAGTAGGGGGAAGTTTACCCGTGAACTTATTATTAGCCAAATTCAGAACACTTAGATCATGTAAGTTCATCCAGCAATCAGGAAGCTCTCCGTCTAATTGGTTATCTGAGAGAACAAGGGTCTCGATCCCGAGTGTTGTTGAATATTGAAAAATTGATATTGGAATTGGGCCCGAAAGATTATTATGACTTAAATCTAGTTGCTCATAATGATTAAGCTTTAAGGCCAAATCAGGCATCCTGCCCATAATATTATTATGTGAGAGATCTAATAACTGTATAGAAGTCATACTCCACAACCAATTAGGTAATGTGTCGGATATACCAACAAAAGAGAGATAGAGTTCCTGAAGAGAATTCTGTGTTCGAATCCAATTTGGAAAATAAGGCCCCATATTACAATGACTGAGACGTATTTGCAACTGGAAGGGCGGAATCCAATCGAAGCTGAAGCTGAAAGAAACATTATTAGAAGACAAATCCAATTTTGTTAATTGGGTAAGGTTTGAAAGGTGGTGTTCGGTGATTGTACCTTCCAGCGAAGTTGAAGAGAGATTTAAATATTTGAGATTTAAAAGATGCTCAATAGCTTCGGGTAGCCTTTTCAATTGGTTTCCTGAGAGATCTAAACTCTCAAGACTTGAAGGTTGATGAAGGCTCTGTGGATGAAGCCCATCCAAGTGATTGTTACTAAGGTACAACTTTTTTAAGGACGAAAATCTGGTGATATCTGGCAAGGACCCAACAAGGTGATTTTGGGATAAATCTATGCGCCGCAGTGATATTATCTCTGATATGTTTTCAAATAAATGAGGAAGAGGTACATTTAGTTTATTGAATGATATATCTAGTGATCGCAAATGACTTAAATTCCCCAAAGGTTTGTCAACCCCTCCATGGAGTAGATTACCTTTCAAATTAAGCTCCTCAAGAAAATGCAATTTCAATAAAGTACCAGGAACAGGACCGTCTAGCTGATTATAAGAGAGGTCTAAGTGGGAAAGAATTCTACCAAAGTTAAACAATGACTCCAATGTGGAAAAGGAAGTGAGATTGTTGTGGGATAAATAAAGATCAGAAAGGCAGGACGAAGAAGAATTTGCAAAGAAATCAAAGGCAGGCAGATTGTCATGAAGTTGACAACCTGACAAGTACAATTTCTCGAGTAAAGAGAGCTTCGTTATTGGCTGTATCCAGTTGGTTACATTTCTAAGATTAATACCGCTCAAGTCAAGGTAAGATAACAAAGGAACATCAGAAAGCCAATTAAGATTATCGATCGTCATATTATTGTTTGTAAGGGACAAATGCTTCAAGTGCTGCAACTCTTGCAGTGCAGGACTTATCGTACCTCTTAAATGCTTATCAGATAGATCGAGCCTGATTACGTGACCAGTGACGCTACATTCCACGCCATACCAATTGCAGCATTCCTCTTTATCTTCTTCACTTCCCCACGTTAACCCACTAAGATCACCTGTAAGACTTTCCTTAAACTTGAGAAGAGCTTGTCTCTCCCTCTCTATGCACCTAACTTGAGCAGCAGCCCCAACTCCAGAAACCAATAGATTCATGCACAGAAAAAGTAGCAATTGCAGTATTTTGAGCTCCATTATTTTTTTTTTCTGACAGTGATTAAAAATGTTTAATTTTTTGAGTTATTTGTGTTCATACAATCAATGTTTTATAATCGCACTAACGCATCAGACACGGTATAGTGTAGGACCCCTTTGGAAAAACAAAATAACATGGATTGGTTGAGCTTAGAGATTAATTCCACAATGGAATCTTCTATGCGCATTAGACACGGTACCCTTTGGAAAACAAAAATAACTTAGAGATATTATTCCCACAATCACGCCATAATTTATAAAGTCTTTACAACAAGACAGGACTGATTGGAAAACCAAGACTGGTTCAAGATTCAATCTGCTGACGTACCAAAATTGAAAATTTGAAACCCATTAAAATGATTCTGACGAACCAAAACTGATATACCCTTATATTTTTTAAAAATGAATTTTTTTTTTTTTTTTTTTGACGATCAGTTTGAGGAAATCAATTGTCTATAAATTTCATGGATGAGATGTGATGCCATCAGAGTCGGTCCTGTGTTTGATGGGCCCTGAGACGAATAATGAAAATTAGGCCCCCCAACGACAAAATTCAAATGTGTGTTAAATATGTTGTTTTATTGTTGGATAATTAGTCTTGGGCCGGCTCACCTTATTTTAGGCCTGCTCACCTTGTTTAAATAAAAAATAAATAAATAAATAAATAATAAATAGGGGCCAAATTTAGACCCAGGATCGGGCCTGAATGCCATATGACGTCTTTAATACAAGAGAGCAAAATTAAAATCAATACAAGAACGTCTTTAATACGTTGTGGTATTGTGGAGACGACACATGAACGTCGTTGTCATAGTCGAACGTCGTTGTCATAGTCAACTCAATTCTAGGCATTCCAGTCAAGGGCCATTTTTATAGATGAGGAAGTTATGCATATTGAAGAGATATTATTCTTAATTACCAAACTTTGCAGCAAGGTACTACCACAAATCGAAAAATGTCTTTAAGATGGATATTTATTTTTATATAATGTCAGCTTAATCTAAATTAGAAAATTATATATTGCCGATCGTTTTCTGATGGCATATGATAAACTTATGGTTACTTTGACAATTAATGAGGGACAGGAAGTTTAGAAGAAACGGCCTAGTTTACAAAGGAAAAACGCACTATATAATGAAGATAGAAAATTTTGGATATATGTTCACTAAAATTTCTTGTGATTATATAATACTGAACATTTAAATTAGGGATTTGAGACTGGAATTTCCCATTTTTTTAAAGGTAATTTTTGGGTTACTGTAGTATAGGTGCTGTTTCTGATAGTGTGCACAGAATGGTGCTACTTCTGTCAATAGTTTTGGTGTCAGATTTCAATATCAAGAAATTGGTGTCACATTTCAATATTCTGGAATTTTAGTGCTGTCTTTGTCAAACCTTTGATTTTCACATTTTAAAGGCTTGAATGAAGTTTTATGACAAGTATTGAGGTTTATGTATTGGAATAAATTATGCATAGGGGCTGTATATGTATAAGTTATTGATTTTAAGGAAGTGAGAGTAATTTAATGGATTTAATAATGCATGGTGTTTAGTTGATAAATCATTAAAGAGAAGAAAAGTTGGAGAACTGGAAATGTAAGAGTAAGTATAGAAGTTGAGAAGTTAAGTGGTGGATTTATATTAATTTAATTGTTAGATTTTAATTCGAGAAATTATACCGTTATTTCAGGTGGGAACGTGGAAGCTTGGAAATGTTCGTCAATTTAAGCAAATTTCTATCCATAAATCTGTGAGTGGAAAAATATAAATATTTTTAAAGTATTTATAAATTAAGTTTATTGTTAAAGTATGTGCAATTATATGCAATTATGTGTTCGAATTACATGATTTTTATGGAATTATCTTTTATTATGATACATGTGGGATTTCAAAGATTGTATACGTTACATTGTGAATTGAAATATTAGATATGATTTTGAGATCGACCAGAAAAGTACCCGTGATTATATATTTCTTCTAGTTCACTGAGGAGCCTTGGCCGTATTTTATACTACACTGAGGGGTCATGGACCGGGGATAAAGGGGTCTCGACCGTGTACATATAGTTCACTGAGGGGCATTGGCCGTGTTCTAGAATTGATTTTGAGAGGTCTTTGAGACCGACTTTCGTTCACGGAGGGGCCAAAGGCCCATGGCGAAAGTTCTTTGCCCGAGAGGCGGATTACATATTTCAGTCAGAGGGTGCATTTTTGGTGGATTTTTCAGTACGTTTGATGTGATGAGATTATAGCATGGTTATCAGCTGACGTCTATATCATGATTTTGAGATGATATTTAATGACCTTATGTGAATATTTCACTTTTTGGTTAAAATTACATGATGTTATCTTCTAAATTATTAAATGATATGAACTCCATTTTTGATAGAAATGTAAAATTGAAAAAGTATAATTATTTTCGAACTACTCCACTCATTGAGTTATCAACTCATATATTTTTCCATAATTTTTCCTACAGGTGGAAATTGATCATTCTTAGTTGGAAGAGCCTAATGATTTCGGAATAAGAGCCAAACAACATTTTGAATATTATAACTCATATTGATGAAGCGCGAAGTAAAAATTTTGGGCCCATCGCATTATGTTTTTATAAATATTTGATTTTGTTGCATTTTTTTTAATCAGCCTTGGTGATAGATTTGACATCTAGTCAGCATCTATCATCAGCGCACGTCACGTTTCAGGTCCACTAGGGTGATTCGGGATGGGTCGTGTCAAATGGAGAAACATGTGATGACAAAATATTGTTCGATCAATAATATCGCAAGTGCATGATTCGTTAACAAGTGGTAAAGTAGATTTAGAGTGCAAGTATTGTACCCACAAACATTGGACTAGTTTGAATTCAATTAACTTAACCTTAACTTGATTGCGATCTAATAATCTACTTATGAATACAAGACCTAAATAACTAAAATTGATGCAAAGTTGTAATGAACGCAATCTTTATGAAAATATGATGTTGAAAAGTATTCTACGATCCTCGAATCCCCTTATATCTATCCCCTTTAATCCCGAACCTTATGAATTTGAAAACAATATTCAATCATGAAGATCAATATTTCTAATTCGTTTAACAATCCCTCTCGAGTATAATTAAATATATCCTTACTGTGACCTGATTATATTTCTAAAACGGATGCGAACATATAAAAATGCATTTAAATTTATGAATGCTTAAAAATCAGGTAAAATATAGCAGTATATTTCTATTCTCTATCGGACTCTACGACAATTGACACTATATCTAATTTATTTCAATGTTTCGAAGGTAAAATAAGCCACAAAACTCATACTATTATTGAGCATATAACTGTACAAAAAAAAAAAAAAATCAAGGTCAATCATTCAAAATTAATGTGCTTTGAATGTCACAAAATTAATAAGATTCAAACATTAAAGTTCCATGATATAAGTTTCATCGTAATTTTAGCACAAAACTACTATAGCCCAACTTGATGTCGGAATTAAACAAATCAAATTGAAAAGACATCGCCAATAAATTGACAGAACGTGATTCTTTTCCAAAGCGAAGCTGTCATCTTTTTTCCAATTTCGGCAGTCCCTCCTCTCCAAAATTCTGGCCGTCTATGTGTATATATTTTAACTCCCTCTTTTTTAATTCACAAATAGCAGCCAACTTTCTTGTCCCATTACGAGTGGTCCATATGGTTATTGAAGTTCAATTCAATTGCAAGTCCAATTCCTTTTCAGTTTCGCTCATCTTCCAAAATTTATGTGCCTTCCACCTATTTAATCATCTAATTAGGATTTTATTCCAATTAAAATTCGCTTTTCTAGCCCAATTAATTAGTGTTTACTTTCAAGTCCTCAATTCTTCCATGTAATGCAAGTTAGTCATTTTCTTCATTCTCTCCTTGATTTCGATCCTCCAATTTCTATTCGATTGAGATTTAGTCCACAAACTTCCGTTTAATAGTCAATTGTTCCTTATTTCTTTTCCAATTGTTTTGAAACGGGTCCAACACTAAAATAAAAGAAAATCAACCTAAGTTAAGTCAAAATTAACACTTCAACAATATAAAAGTTTAGTAATAAGACCCGGATAAGTGCATAAATATACTTATCAAACACTCCGAAACTCTCGAACAAAACAAACTAGGCATAACCCATATTACGAGCACAGATCGACATGTTGAAGGGTTAGCAGAGCTTCAGGGTGTCGGAAGAATGAGTCAGGCTCAATGTGTTCATGAAACCTTCACCTTCCAACCTTGAAGGATTTCTTTCTATTAGCTTCATTAGGTTTCGTAAAACAACATCCAGGAAAATCTTTATTACATGTTTTGGCTAGAGTCTATAATTGTCTTCCTTCCATTGGAGTTTGAGTCAATTTGTATATTGAGGCTTAAAAGTTGGAAAATCTAAAAAAATTAAGAAAAGTTGAAAAATCTCAAAAAAAAAAAAAAAATATATTTCTTTTACTATGTTGGTGTGAATGAAACGGATTCTTACTTTGCCTTAATTAATTATTTGTGTCCGAGTCAGTTTCTAGAGATTAAAGAATATTTGTATAATTTGTACTAAAAAATTATATGCTCTTATCTCGTGTTAGATTCCATATTTTTAGAATATAATCGTGTCTTATTCATCACTTGAACTAAAGAACTCTCAGGTTCTTTGAACTACAGAAACATTTTGCCTTTGTAATTAAATAACCTTAAAATTCTAGCCTCTTGATCTAACTTTCAAGGATAAGTTTGAGGGTGGTTGGATTATGACAATGAGAGTTTTGGGATATTTTGATATTTTGTAGTTTTACATCGAAATATAAGATGATAGAAATTTTGTAGGGTCTAAATTGAGCATTGAATGTAAACTAAGAGTCATGGTTGACTGAGTAGGAAAAAGTTGCCCTTACCAATGTGGTCCTAAGTATCATCATTATGTAGGAGACGATGTACCAGTGAAGAAGACTGCCGTAGTTATAAAGGAAAACTACCTATTTAGATTTAAAACAAAATTAAAAAAAAAAGGAAAAAATCATAAAATGCT